ACCAGTGAGTAATCCAGCTCCATTCATATATCGAGGTCTATCAGCTTTTCAAGTGTCTTTAAAGGAATTATATTTAAGCATAAAATGAAATATAGACTCTTGATTTGGTGTTCTTACTGTCCCAGTAGAAGTGATGGGCATTGGCGCCGCATTTAATGCTTGCTTCATCGAGAAAATCCCTCACACATTGGCATGGAGGGTCCTCACATTGCATATAAATCGGGGTCATCATATCGGCATTACATAAGTAGCGAAGTTACATTTATTAAGTTTCTTTCTGCCTACTTCACCTATCACTATTTAATGCAGCAAAGAAAGTGAAATCTACAATTCTCAGGCCATTAACCTTGTTATTGAAAATATAGGGTTCAAGAACTAGAACAATGGGTACTTAAGATCTAGATAGGTATAAAAGGAGTTCAATGATGCAAATTTATCTGTACTACGCGGTACTTGCCGCCTTCGTCCCGCCGCTGAGTCGGATAAGAAAGATGTTGACAGAATCGTATCCATCCTGATCCGAAGTTCAGCTTTCCCTCTCTGGCCGTAAGTAGTTCTGTCCATCCCTCTTCACATCACCTCTAATGTCGAGTCCCTTCTCCCCACTGGTGCTGGAACTAATGATGGCCCAAACTCTTTTTGGGGATCTGCAGTTCAGGCATGGTCAGAATTAGTTCCTTTTCGACTTCTGACGGTGTAGCCCACGCCACGCTGGCTGGGATTTCCGGGAGAATGGCAGCCGCCAGTTTTCGCCAAAGTCATTGACCCATTTGTGTACAAAGGCACTGCCGACCTGCTTGTTTCCATTGGTTCCCATGTCCGAAACAATGACCTATCTTAGGTTTTCTTGGAATAGCAACCAATGACTATCACTGATTTTCCCTTCCGTCTGTCAATGATTGTTAGTCGGAGATCGTGTTTGGATGCCATTGCAGTCGCCCTCTCCTACGGTTGTTTCTTCTTTGGACCGTCTGTTAACAATCAACTATGATCCACGAATACGGATTTTTAGTTGCTAATTTTACAAAATTTTCAACATAAGTAATTTTATGTCACATTCTGTAGTACCGATTCCGAACTTCAAAACACAAATTTGAAAAAAAAGAACGGAATAATGTTGCTAAAATCATCAAAATGACTGACGGTGCATATGCAAATCTATTGTCTTCAAAATCTCAAATTCTTATGAATTCCCGAAAACTGTGGCGGAACATCAATCTAAAGATTATGATTCGCAAAATATCAAAGATAATACATGTTCAGATGCCATTAGAAAATACGTAATTAATGTAAGTGCTGGAACTGGGACAAAACATGTAATTTTTTTGGAAGGATTGTCTTTAAAACTTCGTCCATATTGGGATGTAATTAAAATAAAACTTGCCACAAAAAAGATTAGATTACCTACAGCTTACATACTTACAAAGCTAAGTTGGAACAATACATATTGGTAGGTGGGGTTATCCGAAGCATCTAAGGCTCTTACTGCTTTTACGGTGAACCGAAAGTCACAGCTGATTCCTGGTAATAGCTTTCGGGAACTGTTCGACCCCCTATGTGCAGATTGGTCGACATAACCATTATACTTAATCTCATATATTGAATATTTTGATATCGTGATGATATTGTTATATTCTCGGAAGACTTTAATAATCATAACCAATAATATTGGTTATGTAACCCAAGAGCTAAAAAGGAAAATTTAACTATAAATAAAGGAAAACGTAATTTCTGAGTCATTGTCGTGATTTTAAAGCCTCGTAATCCTGGGAATTTCTCCTCGGTGATCTTTTCTATATCAAAAACGTTGACCACAAAGAAGACAATTAAAGAAAATTGCTACAGCGCCCGTACCATCAAATCCCGATTTCACAAAAAATTGCATGCATCGGATTATAGCAGTTATGTTTATGTAAAAAATATAAATAAAGTAAGTATATCATAATAGAAAGAGAGTGTGTAGCTGTATCCAAGCCATAAAAGATTAATGTGTTACCACGAATTACAAGATTTCGAAGTGATTACAGCTCATTCGTCCTTGTTATGACTAGCCTTGTTAAGTTCACATTCATAATAAGTTTCCGTACGGGGTATAGCGATAATATATTTGCATTAGGACAATCCAAACCAGATTAGTGGATAAGTACATTTAAATTCATTTCACTGTAGTGGAACCCTGGAGAGTCTGGAAATTATGAATTCAAAAGAAAATGCGATCTTCCCTGATAATTCGATTCCATAACTCTTCAGTTGCAGCTCACGACGGAATGGGACAATTCTTGACCTTATCCGAAGACATTTATTCTGGTCCGATACTCACAGACGTAAGGGATCTCATCCGCAATTGTGAAACATGCAAAACGTCTAAACATCTCAACTAAATATTATGAGCCTTATATTTTTTATTGTATTAATCAAATATCATTGGCTCCACTGAAAAGCTCAACACAGCTCTATTACAAGTTTTTCCGCAAATGGTAAGGATTGATGGCTTGCAATTCTAAATTAAACAATAAACACGTTGAATACGCCACTATTTTCACCACAGGCTGGCCCGGTACTCACAGACGTAAGGGACCTCATACGCAATTGTGAAACATGCAAAACGTCGAAACATCTCAACTAAATATTATGAGCCTTATATTTGTGATGGTATTGATCAAATATCATTGGCTCCACTGAAAAGCTCACCACAGCTCTATTACAAGTTTTTCCGCAAATGGTAAGGATTGATGGCTTGCAATTCTAAATTAAACAATAAACACGTTGAATACGCCACTATTTTCACCATAGGCCAACCTGTCCGGATGCGAAATTCAGTCAGTAATAGCCAGTATTTGAAAATTTGAGTGCCCTAAGAAACACAATACATCAAATTGTACAATGCTCCTCTTCTTCGCAATCTTCGGTTTGTATAAGACCACACATGGGCATAAATGTGCTATATTAAAGAATATAGATATGTTAGATAAACCCAATGCCAATATTCCTAGCAGAGATCGATTGAATTTGATTCGCAAAGATCGCAACTAAATATCGAACATGTAAAAAAGCAGATAAGTCACTGTATTAGGCGGTTGTGCCGATTCCGAACTTCAAATACGAAATTTGGCGCGATTCCGGTGTTTAATGTCGCTAATATCAGCAAGATACCGAAGAAATGGAGGTACCGTTTTGTGGGGGCTATACGAATACGTAGACCTGCCTAGACAATTTTCTGTCACAGCTTGTTGCACTCATTATAAACGTCAAATGCAAAAATTGAAACAATTCCGGTGAATAATGTCGTTAAAATCATCAAAATACTGAATACGAAATACCGAATACCGAATACGGAAACGAGATAGACCCATAGTTCCTTTTGATGATCTGCATAGAATCACATTCTGAGTGGATTTATGCATGTCCGTGCATTTTTGTAAACAAAGTACGGGTCGCATTTATTGACCGATCGAGAAAAAATTTTGTACAAATCATTTCTTTGGCTCAAGAACGAAGCCTATTGATATAGATCAGATATAGCTATATCTTCCATATATATTGTTCGGCCGTTTTCTTATTTTTGTCCCCCACTGTCCCCCCCGAATATCGTTTCTTACAGAGTGCTTATTACTCTGTAAGAAACGATATTCGGGGAAATATATCAGGTAAAGCTCTTTCGCCAACAATTGTCGAAATCGGTTCAGATTTGGATATAGCTCCCATATATGTCTTCGTTCGATTTTCCTTCTATTTGGCAACCAAAGTGTAATATTATCCCATATGTGATGAAATTTGCACAAACGACCAAATTAAGCGTGAAAATTAATATGCCAAATTTGATCAAAATAGACTCAGAGATAGATATAGCTGCAATATATATTGTTCATCCGATTTGTTATTTTTCCTCCTCAGCCGTAATATGCACTCCGTAACAACGATATTCAAGGAAATATATAAAATACAGCCCAAAAATACCTTGCCAAATTTTATTTTGTGCACCAAATTGTTAATACGAGCCCAAATTGAAAAGACACAAATGTCTCCGCAAATTTAGTAGAAATCGATCGATCCCACATATTAATTCCTTTGGACTTTATATTATAGCTATGATCATAGTTGGTATGATATAATTCTCACAAATTCCCTATAATTCATTTGTTCCTCATTAAACATGCAAAGGGGTGTAGGGTATGATAAAGTCGGCTCCACCCGACTTTTGGACTTTCCTTACTGGTTTGTAATAATACCTTCAAATACGAAGTACCGTTATGTATTGGCCGTACGAAGACGTGCACATGCATAGACAATTTTCTGTCATGGGTTGCAGTACCCATTACGAACTGAAATACAAATTTGAAACAGTTCCGGCGAATAATGTGTCTAAAATCATCAAAATATGGAATATTGAGCGGTACCGTTATATGGGGGCTATACGAAAACCTGGACCGACATATTACACGTTTGGTGCACAATAAAAGGCAAACCGGACTAAGATATATATGACAGCTTTATCCAAATCTGAAGCGATATAGATAAAATTTAGCAAAGGTATTTTTAAGTTGTATTTCATATATTTCCCCAAATATCGTTTTTACAGAATGCATAAACACCAAATCGGATGAATTCTATATATGGAAGCTACAGCTATATCTGAACCGATTTTCTCCGCATTCGATGTACTTGCTTCTAGACTGAATTCGTTCGGATGTACCAAAATTCAGGACCTTTGGACTGATATTGGCCATTTCATGCACAATTAACCTGAAATGGGTTGAAGATATTTATGGGTTATCACCAATTTTTTTATACACTCCACCTTGGAAAGGAGGCGCTGGTCGAAGGCTCCCAAATTGCTTTGTTAGCTTTAAATCCAAAATGAGAACGAGTTTTCATTGCTTGGAGTAGGAACAGTTTTTAAATCGCACTTGTTGTTGCCGGAAATATATTTACACTCGCAATTAAGAAACCAAATGAATGATATCACGCTATTTAACAATAATCCATCTGATTTTTTTAAGGCTCCCAGCGCAGTTATAATGGGGAATGTTTGTAGTTCCGGTCAAAGCAAGAAAAAGGACAGCATTTCTGAAAAGTCAGAGGAGTATGTACACATATTATTTTATTTATTTAGTCATACACATAAAAATTTATTAATCTTTTCATTTTAGTTCATATCACATTAATAAAGATGAGCCATCGAAAGAACTTGGTGAAAACCAGTTGGCCCCTTTAGCAGACCAAGAACTTCTGCCTGATATCGCCAAAAACAATGCTACATCGCCGAACGAAATTAATAATGAAGAAAGCGATAATAAATTGGCAGCGACTAAGAGTACATTAAATGGTAATTTGCAACAAATATTTGTATTTACTTTAAATTACTTAGAGTTTTAATATTTTGGTTGAAAATTATGAGTTTATGGTTTTATTTCTCTTTCGAGTTATATCATCTATACATCATCACCACCTTTATTTGGTGTGGAATGCTCAACAAAGGTCTAGACTATATAGACTACTAGATGGTATTCCATTTTAATGGGTGTTACAATGATTAATTACAAAATTCCTACAATACAAAGTAGTTAAAGGAAATATACCAACTTATCGCTCGAAAATACCAGGACTTTTGGTATTGATAATGGGTCATGTAGGTCCACGTTATGGTATAGCCCCCATATTATGGTGCGTATATATTTTCGGTATTTTGGTGATTTAAGCGACATTATACACCGCAAATGTTTCAAATTTGGTAAACGTGGATAAACGTAATGGATACTACATCCTATGAAAGAAAATTGTCTGTGCAGGTGCACGGATTCGTATAGCCCTCATATAACGGTACCTCCCGATATTCGGTGTGTTCGGTGTTTTGATAATTTTATTGATTTGAATGTTGTATAGACCCTAATATAACTGCTACACTCGGTATTTTTAAGATTTAGCCGAATTTTTAACTGATTTTATTTTTTTGAAAATTGCCAAATTCGTTCCAAATGATGGAGGGTATCCCAAGTTCGGCCGGGCCGTTTTTTACTATATTTATACTTTTTTTTATTAATTTAATAAAACGTAAAAATATAGTAAATAATAAAATCTGATGGTATTTTGGAACGATAAATCAGTCTTCAATTCACCAAAAGAATTGGATACCGCATATTGTGCTGGTTATAAGTTAAGCAGTTAGCAAGTCATGTAGAATATATTCCAATAAAGGAAAATTCAGGAAAAACAAAACCGAAGCTGCTAACAATTTTAGTTTACCCTTTAAAGGATTTTCGACACTAAAATGGACTTTGAGGAAAAAATATAACTTGGTATATTGAAACGGCACCTTCTCGAAAATGTTTTAAGAAGCTGCTAGAGATACGATATACAGGATTTTATACCCTACAACACTACGTATTGGGGGTATTATAAGTATGATTGGGCCAAACATTATATAACACCTCGAAATATTGGTTTCCCACATAGGAATTTATATATGGATCTTTCTACCTCGCCGAGCTGAGTCGATCTAGCTATGGATGTCCGTCTGTCCATGTTAATTTGTAATCACTCTACAGGTCGCAGTTATGGCCTGATCTTCACGAACTTTAGAATGGAGGTGGGGATAGGTCCAGAATAGAACCCTATTGCCTTTAAAGATGATCGCAACTGAAATGATGATCGAAACTGAAAAATTTCCTGATGTTGCAGCTGCTCTACAAGTCGCAATTATAGACCAATCGAAGCGGAAGTTAGCATGGTTCTAGAGCTTAGGGCTGGGCAGAAGCCTTCCAATTGTCATCGGTTAATATTTAGTGGGTGAAATAGGCCATAACATTTGTGTTAAATAAAAGTCAAATTTTCCATTTAACCGCGAATATTTTTAATCTCGGCGAAATCAATCCTGACCCTTACGTAGATGCCGATAGTAAATATATGGGATACATATCGAAATATATACAATACATATATACAAGGGAAGGGGATGTTAGCTAAAATGCTTATATCTCAAGAATGGCTGGACCGATTCTGACAAACTTTGTCAATTCAGAATGCCCTCTTGGTATACAAGTGAAAAATCTTACGTAGATGCCGATAGTAAATATATGGGATACATATCGAAATATATACAATACATATATACAAAGGAAGGGGATGTTAGCTAAAATGCTTATATCTCAAGAATGGCTGGACCGATTCTGACAAACTTTGTCAATTCAGAATGCCCTCTTGGTATACAAGTGAAAAATCTAAACAAAAAAAATACGCCAGTAATGATGTTAATATAGATTTTATAGTATTTTGTGACATTTTTTTTATTTGTTCATATTTTTTATCGCATGCTATTGTTTTCAGTTTTTATCGTCCGATCCTCAGGAAAATTTTGACAATGGTAAGGTTAGGCTCAGATGGGCTAGGCCTATTGTTTTCAAAGATATCCGCAATATATTTAGGAGTTTAGGACAGCGGGTAGAATGGAACACTACTTATATAAAGGTCACAAATAGAAACCAAAGGACACGAAATCTCGTATGAAGTTAGAGTTTAGGACAGCGGGTAGAATGGACCACTACTTTTGTGTAAAAAATACCAGCATTACTTACAGACGATATCCGAAATACACAAATATCGTTTTATAGGAGGCAGTTGTAAAAGATCACCGAAAAGTAATACGTTTACTTACCAAAAAAAACTCATTTTTACAGTTACTAATTTGCCTTCATCGAGCGTCCATCATACATAACATTAAATGAGACACCATGAAAATCTCGTCGACAATCAAAAATTCTGTCTGATGTCATTGTTGCCTCATTATTCGCAAATAGTTTCCGGACAGTGGTGACATACCTGTTATACTTTTCTTTCACTTTTTGAAGCCTTCGTTTACGTTGTGTTGCAGTTTCTGTTTTATTTGTGTTTGTATTTTTTATATTTTTACCATTTTGTTCCCACGAGTAATAGACATTCAAACGGTCGACCCCCAAAGAGGTGCGATAAACGGACAAGGCTATGTACAAGAAGAGGTGCTGAGTCTTGAGGGGAAAACGCTAACGACATATCATTTTTATCCACCCTAATGCCATACAGTTCTCGGGGCATTTTAACCTTTCACCTTAACTTGGGTGGTGTACCGGTAACGACGTATCATTTTTAGCCACCCTAACGCCACACAGTCCTCAATACGATACAAAATCGTGACTTGGGTGGTGGATCAGGCTGAATTAATCAGATACCTCATTTACAGATGCAATTTCTAAATTTAAATCCTATTATTATACGCCATTTAGTGGCTGCGCCCATCTTTAATATTGAGGTGGTAGAGTGCACTGTATTCTTCTTGTCCTTTAATTTGATACCCATATTAGTGGGATTGATAAAAAATTTTTATCAGCCATTTGGTAGCGGCGGCCAACTTAGATTTCAGTTTCGCATAGTAAATTCTATTCTACTTGTTGAGACCTTTCATTTAATACCAATGTTGATGGGATTGATGAAACCTAAGTTATCCGCCATTTTGTAGAGACCGCCATCTTGGATTTTAATTTTAATAATAATAATAAGGAATAAACATAATTGTATTGTCACCAAAATGCAAAGTGTATTCAAAATTTCAGATTAATTATATATATATATATATATATATATATATATATATATATATATATATTTCATTGAAGTCGGGCATACAGCAGCAGATATGTGAAATCGGCCGAAAATATATATGGGAGCTATATCCAAATCTGAACAGATTTCAATACCATTTGACATTCCATTCCATTGAAAGAAGTGAAGAAGAAGATACACGCGTTTGTAAACGACCCGTAATAAACAAGTAAATAAGAACACTTACAAAGCTCCGATAAGCAGAAAATTTGAACAACAAAGAAACAGAGAATGCGCCAGTCGATTAAAAATGAAGTGCAGTCAAATGTTGGTGTTGTATTCATTTTCTAAATTTATTTTCACACTTTTCATAAAATCCATTGGGAATACAAAACACTCAATTGGTTTGAACCATAACAACGCCAGCTGATCTCTTTCTATCAAAATACTGGTTGGATGCCTCAGTTGTTTATAATTTCAACTAGATTTGACAGCTGACAAATCATATGATACGGCGTTGCCAACTACCATATACACCAGAATTTAAACAAGTAAAAAAGCGTTGAAAAATGTGGCTAAAAACATTAAAATACCGAATATCAGCGGTACCGTTATATGGGGGCTATACGATATCGTGGACCTATATAGATAATTCTGTGCCGAGGTATAAAGTACCCACAAGGAACTCTTTGTGTGGATTTTCAGACAATTCCGATGAAAAATGTGGGTAAAATCATCAAAATACCGAATATCGGGGGTACCGTTATATAAGGGATATACGATATCGTGGACCTGTATAGACAATTCTCTCTCAGGGGGTACTCACAAGAAAATACTTGTGTGGATTTTAAGACAATTCCATTGAAAATTGGGGCCAACATCATCAAAATACCGAATATCGGGGGTATAGACAATTCTCTCTCAGGGGGTAAAGTGCTCACAAGAAACTACTTGTGTGGATTTTCAGACAATTCCGTTGAAAAATGTGTGTAAAATCATCAAAATACCGAATATCGGGGGTACCGTTATATGGGGGCTATACGATATGGTGGACCGATATAGCCCATCTTCGAACTTGACCTGCCTGCAGAAAAAAGAGAGATATGTGCAAAATTTTAGCTTCCTATCTCAATTCGTTTAGACTGTAGCCTGATTACAACAGACGGACGGACGGGGCTAAATCGTCTTAGAATTTTACGCTGATCAAGAATATATATACTTTGTTGGCTTCAAAATGATTATTTCGATTAGTTATAAACGGAATGACGAATTTAATATACCCTCCATTGTATGCATGATGGAGGGTATAAAAAGAGTGCTTAGATACACTTCTGCACTTATCAGAAAAAAGTATTGGAACTCATTGAAATAAGTGGTAATAAGGAATACCTTTTCAGATGTAACGAATCTGATAAAAGGTGTATTAAAAATCTGCTTCAAAAAACACTTGATTTCGAGAAAAATAAAAAATGGTTCAATGTAAGATGCTACAATGCTAGAGAAACTTCCATGAAGAACAAACGTAAATACCTAGAAAGTAATCGCATATATAAAGAAGAATGCCGAGTGACTAAACTGCAACATTTTAGCAGTTTTGAAAGAAATTAAGATAATGTGAAAGAGCAAAGATTGGTGGAAGATAGCTTAGGAGATTCGAAATGATACAAATAATCATTCGTCGAACGAAACAAACTCAAACAGCATTTTGAAAAATTGATCAACCCACCGCAAACATTACCAGATATCCAGTATGCT